CAATATTTGTAAAACCATAAATGTAATTAAATACATCAACAGATGTCAAAACAAAAACCACATGATTATATCATTAGATGCAGAAAAAGCTTTTGATAAAATCCAGCACCCCTTCTTGATAAAAATCTTCAAACATCTAGGCATATGGGGAACATACCTCAAAATAGTAAAAGCCATCTACAAGAAACCCACAGCAGCATACTCCTAAACGACAAAAATTGGAACCATTTCCCCTGAAAACTGGAACCAGACAAGGATCCCCACTCTCACCTCTCCTGTTCAATATAGTATTGGAAGCCCTGGCTAGAGCAATCAGATAAGAGAAGGTAATCGGGGGTATCCAAATAGGAAAAGAGGAAGTCAAGTTATCTCTCTTTGCAGATGACATGATCGTGTACCTTGAAAACCCAAGAGAATCTGTCAAAAACCTCCTTACACTGATAAAGGACTTTGGCAAAGTCTCAGGATATAAAACAAATGTATAAAAGGCAATCGCATTTCTTTACACTAATAATAAACAAACAGAAACCCAAATAAAAAAGCACAATTCCATTCACAATACCCACAAAAAAAAATGAAATACCTTGGCATCTTCCTAACCAGAGACGAGAAAAACCTTTACAATGAAAACTACAAAACACTGCTCAAAGAAATCAAAGATGACACAAACAAGTGGAAAAATATTCCATGCTCATGGATTGGAAGAATCAACATTGTGAAGATGTCCATCCTACCTAAGGCAATCTACAGATTTAATGCAATACCCATCAAATTACCAGCAACATTCTTCTCAGACCCGAAAAAAACAATACAGGAATTCATATGGAAACACAAACGTCCAAGAATAGCCAGAACAATCCTCAGCAAAAAAAACAAAGCAGGCAGTATCACATTACCAGACTTCAAACTTTACTATAAAGCTATGATAATCAAAACAGCTTGGTATTGGTACAAAAACAGGCATATAGACCAACGGAATAGAATTGAGATTCCAGAAGCTAAACCTCAATTTCTCAACCAATTCATCTTCAACAAAGCCTCCACCACCTACCACTGGGGAGAGGAGAACCTATTCAGTAAATGGTGCTGGGAAAACTGGCTGACCACATGCAGAAGACTCAAACAAGACCCCTATCTGTCCCCATACACAAAAATTAACTCCAAATGGATCAGAGACCTAAATGTAAAACCTCAAACCATAAGAACCTTAGAAAATGCAGGACACACCCTTATGGAAATTGGAACTGGAATCCAATTCCTGAACAAAACCCAAAACCCACAGGCCATAAGAGATAAGATAGACAAGTGGAACCTCATTAAACTGACAAGCTTCTGCAAAGCCAAAGAAACCATCAAGAGAGCAGGGAGACAGCCTACAGACTGGGAAAAAGTATTTGCCAACTCCAGGTCCAACAAAGGCTTAACATCTTGGGTCTACAAGGAACGTAAATGTGCTGAAAAGAAAAAAACAAACAACCTCATTATAAAGTGGGCAAAAGATATGAACAGACACTTCTCAAAGGAAGACATCCGAGCAGCTAACAGACACATGAAGAAATGTTCAACCTCACTAATCATCAAGGAGATGCAAATCAAAACCACACCAAGATACCACCTAACTCCAGTCAGAATGGCAATTATCAATAACTCAAAAAATAACAGTTGCTGGAGAGGGTGTGGTGAAAAGGGAACACTCCTACACTGTTGGTGGGAGTGCAAACTGGTGAAACCTCTGTGGAAAGCAGTGTGGCAATGCCTAAAAGCTCTGAATATCAACCTCCCATATGACCCTGCAATCCCCCTACTGGGAATAAACCCTGAAGAACTCAAATCACTCTACCAAAAGATAGCTGCACACGTATGTTTATTGCAGCATTGTTCACAATAGCAAGAACCTGGAATCAACCCTACTGTCCATCAAAAGAGGACTGGATTAAAAAAATGTGGTACATATACACGATGGAATACTATGCAGCCATTAAAAAGAACAAAATCATGAACTTTGCAGCAACCTGGATGGAACTAGAGTCAGTAATACTGAGTGACCTCTCACGGAAACAAAGATCTGAGTATCACATGTTCTCACTCATATAGCGGACCTTGAACATCCACCGTAATACTATAAAAAAAAGACTGACAGTGGTGGGAAACTATGGGGGGGGGAAGGGATGTGGGATTAATGGTAGTCAGTATCTGTCTGGGGATGGGGAGACACCCCTTATCGACAAGGGTGCCTGAACAAAGCATATTTGTATACCTAACCCTAAACTGTACCCCACAATATCAAAATAAAAAATATTGATATAAAAAAATGTTACTCCTTTATATTTCATATTGACTAGCTTTGGGGATTGGTTTGGAAGATGGGATGTATCAGTCATCAGAAATCATTGATTTCATTTCTCTGGACTATACTTAATTTTTCAAATTTGTTAAATTACTTAATGCGACATAGTATCATATATAATATGATAAATGTTAATTATCAAAAACATTTAGTTTTCCCCTTTATTAAACATCTGCATTTCTCCTAGGAACTAAAAGGCTGACTAGCTCTCATTGCTATAGCAACTTGTATCCTAAACTTTAGTGTGAGTAAATATTAGGAGGCAGTGGCTGGGGTTCAAAACCCCAACCTCCTAGCGATTAATCCCAAGTTTCATATAATTCCCTAATTTTGCTTCATAAACACATATAGACAGGAGCAAGGATAGCTGCTTTTAACCGCCATGGAATTAACTATGGTCAGGAACCTCTTCTGGTCAGAGAAGTAAATAAAGAATAAGAGTGATTAGATATTGGTTCTACAGTTTACGATCAACCATGTTCTTCTCCCATCCTGACAGGCCTGAGAGCCCTAGTGGGTGGGAGGACATGAACTAGCAGGGCCACCAGTCACAGTTGTATCTCCAGTAGGGCCAAGAAGCCTGGGCCTGGGCTCACCGTTGGCATTATCAGCATTGGGATTTTGCCATGGAGCATGGTGGAAGGGCAATAAATCGGTGAGTCTGTGGACACTGGCAAGAGAGGCTGAAGTGGTGACTCTTAAAAGCAAAGTTGAATAGAGAAGAAAATAAGGTTAAAGGGAAGTGACCAAGGAATGGATGTAGTTGGAATCACTAATTAAGAAAGACGCAAGGAAATATATGAGGTTGTGGTGAAAGGTGGGGTTTCAGATTTCAGAGGTGGAGAAATAGTTAAGGTGATGACAAGACCTACGGAGAAACCATAAGTCTGGATTGTAGAACTGAAGTGCAGTGAACCTCCCTAGGTCTGAGGAGGGAAAGGAACATAAAAGCTACAGGGTTGGAAGAATTGTCCAAATAGACCATGAAGATAATCAGGATGGCAGCAGGATTTAGGCCAAAGTGGATAATTGTGATCCAGGTACCAAAATTGTCAGCAAACAAGGGAGAGCAATGACAATAATAAAGAGAGATAGAATGATGAGACCATGTGGCAGGACCACAAACGAATGTCCTGAAAAGGATAATGTCCTGAAAACGAATGTCCTGAAAAGGATAATGGGGTATTGAGAAGTGACCCTGAACCCGGTTTCAGGCAGGAGACAGAGGGGGCCATAAGGGAATAGGAGGAGGATGGACACTGCACAGGAGCAGTGGAAGGCTGCACACAAAGATGAAATGCAGAGTGGTATGGAGACACATGAAGTAGGTGGAAGTGTCCACATTTTCTCACTTTATTTTTATCTACACGTCTTTTATATATTTTATATGCCCTTTCAAATATTTTTCAAGACAATGGGGATATTCTTTTAAAACAAAACCTACAAATTTTTAACCACTATATGCTAGACACAAACCTGAAGTCTTTAAAAAAGGCTCAGGCTGGGCTTGGTGGCTCAGCCTGTAATCCCAGCACTTTGGGAGGCCGAGGCATGTGGATTGTCTGAGCCCACGGGTTCGAGACCAACCCAGGCAACTTGGCGAGCCCTCATTGCTACAATAAATAAAAAATTAGCTGGGTGTGGTAGTGCGTGCCTGTAGTTCCGGCTACTTGGAAAGCTGAGGCAGAAGGATCACCGGAGTCCAGCAGGTCGATGCTGGGGTGGCCGTAAGCATGCCACTACACTCCAGCTTGGGCAATGGAGTGAGACTCCAACTCAAAAAAAAAAAGGCTCACAGCAAGGAAATAGGGAAATTTTCAAACAATGGTTGAAGACTCACTACTGATAAATATAAACACTTGCTATTATTTAGCATTAATTATTCTTGGCTTGAAGACACACGGAAGAGAAGAAACAGGTAAGTGCACAACAACTGGAAAGAAATATTCGTATTGCTAAACAGAGTAGAGGAACAATTATAGTTCTCTGTCACGCTACTTATCCACCACTTAAAAAAAAAAATCACAAGTGAACCAAGGGTAGACCTCAGAGCTGAAAGGAGCACAGTGTGTTTTAGAGATATATTCTTTTATACCAGAGTTTGATGGCAACAAAAACAGACCGAGAAAATGTAGAGTGAGCTCTTTGCCTCCATGTTGAGTTGGTGCTAGAGAGCTGGATGAGGGTTGAAGAAGTCGGTGCTTTTAGTAAACTACGGATCTCTTCCCAGAAACGTGTACATAAGCTGGTGCATATAACATTTTGCTTACCATTTCAGGGGTGAGGGTCTAAAATCCTCCAAAGACCATTCTTGGTCCAAGACTAAGAACAAGAGAAGCTTAGAGAAGTATCCCAGAGAAGCCAATTAGAAAGCTAGCTTCTGAGGAAAGTCATTTGTTTGGGAAAATTCCAAGGGGAGAGATATGGAATCTGTGGTCTCAGGGTTGAGATGGAATTGAGGATAGTGGTTTTGAACTAGGAGAAGTGAATAGATCTAGGATTAGAAAGACAGAGATTTCATTCCAAATACCAAGCTCCAAGAGTAATGGACACACCTTGAAATGTGGTACAGATAAAAACCATTGTGGGAAATCCAGCAATGAGAGATTCACACAGGGAAAAAATAGCATTGAATAAAAATTGCCCCGAGCCTGGAGTCACACTTTCATACCACTCATGTTTAGCTCACTGTTGAGAAGCTTGGCATCTCCAGGTTTCACATGCAAAAATGAGGAGAGTTCATGGGGTGGGGTGAGAACTGACTTAGCTAACAACACAAGTAACAGGTTTAACATGGAACCTGGCACTGTGCAAATGGCTGCACTTTATGTATGCAGATTTGGAAGATTCCATTAACTACCACACGCTCTTACCAAGAACGCCAACTGAGGATATGGGCCGTGCTGAAGCTGTTTTCCAAGATGCTCCAGATGGAGTTGACCACTTATTTGCACTCCTTTCGGCAAAGAAAGCATATTGCAGGGCTCTAGCCTGCCCTGATCCATGAAGGTACTTAGACAGCTCTTCCTCCTTCTTGATACCCACTTCATAGGGATACTGCACGGCGGCCTGGATTGCACGAACACAGGCCTCCTGAGCAAGGCAGCCAGGGTGCTGCTTGCGCAACTTCAAGAGGGCCTCACTGAAAACGGTGTCCATGTTGGGCAAGCTCTGAACTGTCTTGTTGCAGAGTCTGCGGGATTCTAGAGGTTGATCTGAAAGGAATAATAAAGATCAGAGTTTTGGAAATGTTACTCATTCAAAGGGAATATGAGTGTATAATAACAACAACAGTAACCTGTCCAAATTCAAAGCATGAATTAAAAACTATTCATTAAGATATTTAACATAACACTGATACCAAAATCTCTGACATCTTTGTAGCCTAATTCTATAAGATAGAATTTAAAAGATTCAAAGCAATTTTCAATTACCTAATTCAGGCATCAAAGTTGCATTTTCTTTTTATTCCAAGGCCAAGACAATTTTATAATAGATTAAATATTAATCTATCCACGAGTCTACAGAAAACAGTTCTGAGTTAGAATTTTGGATTCACAATAATTTTAACTCCATTCTTAATAGTAACAACAACAACAGCAAACCTAGAAAAGATATTGATGCAAGTATAGGCATACATAACAATGGAAGAGACTTGAGCGTTCACAAATAAATCCTTACAATTATGGACAATTGATTTTCAACGCAGGTCCTAAAATAATTCAGTGGGAAAAAGGAGAGTCTTTTCAACAAATGATCTGAGATAACTGAATATCCTCATGCAAAAAAAAAAAAAGAAAAAAGAAAAAAAGAACTTAGATCTTTACCTAGCACCATATATAAAAATTAACTCAAGCCTATAATACCAGCACTTTGGGAGGCTGAGGTGAGTGGATTGCCTGAACCAGTGAGTTCGAGACCAGTCCAGGCAACTTGGCGAGACCTCGTCTCTACAATAAATAAAAAACTAGCCAGGTGTGGTAGCGCATACCTGTAGTTCCTGCTACTTGGAAGGCTGAGGTGGAAGGATCACCAGAGCCCTGCAGGTTGACACTGGGGTGGCCAGGAGTGTGCAATTGCACTCCAGTCTGGGCAACAGAGTGAGACTCCAACTCAAAAAAATAATAATAATAAAATAAAAATAAACTCAAAATGGATCATAAATCTAAATTGAGAACTAAAACTATAAAAATTTTTAGAAGAAAATATAGAAAAATCTCTATGACCTTGGGTTCGGTAAAGCATTCTTAGACATAACAGCAGAAGCATAACTCATAAAAGAAAAAAATTTAAAAATTAGACTTCATAAAAATTAAAGACATTTGTTCTACAAAGGAGACCATTAAGAAAATGAAATAAGCCACAGACTGGAAGAAAACATCTATGTGGCAGGCAGAATAATGGCCCCCCAAATTTCCATGTCTCAGTCTCCAGAACCTGGGACTATATTGCCTCACATGAAAAAAGGGAGTTTATGGATGAAATAAAGGTTAAAGATGCTGAGATGAGGACATTACTCTGTATTTTCTAGGTGAGCCCAATCTAATCATATGAGTCCTTAAAAACATAGACCATTCCTGACCATGGTGAGAGAGATCTGACAATGAAAAGGGGTTAGGGGAGAAGGGGAAGAAGGAGGCAGAGCCAGTGGGACTGTGCAAGTCCCTGTGTGAGTGAGTGAGTGTATGGACAATGTGCATAAGTGTCTGTGAGTTAGTGGACGTCTGAGTGGTTGACTGAGTGAAGACTCAGAATCAAGTGGCCAGAGCTCTCCTGGTGAAGTAGTTGGTGTCGCAGCTGCTCTGCTTGGTCCCTAGAACTTTCCAGAGCACAGAAGCTGGGCACCATTTTTTTAAATCAGCAAAGTCCTTCCTGGGAAGAAGCTGCCAGGAGTGACTGCTGGCTCCAGGCTCTGCCTCACTACTGCAGTGACTGGCTGGACAATGGTAGCAAGGGCAGTGAAGGGAGCGCAATGAGTAAGCCAGAGACAGAGTACCACTGGAGAAGACAAAACAGGCACCCTGCCACCATCTTGAAAACTGGGCAGGGAAGTGCTCCAGCTTGGAGCACTTCCCATGGAACAACAGATGTGATTTCTGGAACTGGCAGGTTAACTACTTAGGGACTGATCATGACTCAGAGGGAATATCCTGACTCAGAGGGAATATCCTGAAAACACAAACTTCGAAGGGACAGGACAAGTGCTGAGTCTCAGGCACCCCACCACACCCGGATTCAGCCATGGGACAAAGGGTGTGACCAGAAAAGAATGAGCAAGACCCCCAAAGAGATCAGTAAACAAATTCAGAGCCCTGATCAGGGAAGAATAGAAGGCCGAGCAAACATCAGAAGTCAAAGCCCCTCCCACTGCTACTGAATTACAGAACTGAAGAGAAAAGAGAGATCTGTCACAAATTAGAAAAAAATCAACGGAAGACCATAGGTAATTCCCAGTGTACCAAAGAGACAATGCCTGAAAAATCAGACCTCAGAGTCCAAACGATAGAAGTCACCAACAACTGGCCCCAGAATACAACAGGAATTAGGGAATGGAGGGAAAGAGTGCATAAGACTTGAAAAAAGACAAGATGCAACACTGAAAGGACTTGTAACAGCGATTTTGGCCATTAAACACTTCATCCAGGAAATAAATAGCAAAATGACAAGCATGGAAAGCAGAATTAATCAAGCAGAAGAAAGAATCTCAGAGCCTGAAGATCAAAACATGGAATTAACCTGATCTGTAAAAAATATTGAAAGAAAACTTAGAGAGAAAAAACAAAGCCACTAAGTGATGTGCAATTATATCAAGAGGCCGAACCTATGCCTGATTGGTTTCCCAAAAGAAGAAAGGGGGAAAGGGAGTACACCTTGGAGCAAGTATTCCAGGAAGTTATCCAAGAAAACTTTCCTCACCTCACAAGAGAAGTGACCATCCAAACACAAGGGATACAGAGAACACATGCAAGACAACAAATGAGAAGTTCAACCCTCAGATACATAGCAATTCACCTACACAAAGTAGGTACAAAAGAAAAATTCCTAAAGGCAGCAGGAGAGAAAGATCAGACTACTTACCAGGAAAGATGAACAAGAATAGCAGCAGACCTACTAGCAGAAACACTACAGGCTAGAAGGAGTCCACTTTTCAAAGTCTTCAAAGATAAACAATTTCAACTAAGAATTTCCTACCCAGCCAAGCTAGGCTTCATCAGAAATGGAGAATTAAAATCCTTCCCAGAATCCAATTCCTAAGAGATTATGCAGATTCCAGACCAGCTCTACAGGAGATGCTTCAAAAGATATTAAGCATAGAAGAAAGAAAAAAAAAAGACTGACTACACACTTCCCAAGAGAACAGGAGAACATAGAATCAACAGAGAGTACACTGCAACTGCAAACTTGAAAAGACACACATATATCAACCCAAAATATAAAAGAAAACAAACAAAGAAAAAACTTTATAAGTACCTAATGATGGCAACAAATGCTCACATATCAATAATCAGCCTGAACGTGAATGGATTATATGCACTATTGAAAAGACATAGAATGGTAACCTAGATTTAAAAAACATGATCCAATAATTTGCTGTACCCAGGAAACTCAGCTCACCACGAGAGGGCACACAAACTCAAAGTTGGAGGATGGAAAACAAATTTCCAGGTGAATGGATCACAAAAGAAGGCAGGAGTCATGATCTTAATATCAGACAAAACAACATTTAAGCTATCAAAAAATTTAAAAGTTACAGAAGGACGCTACATGATGATAAAAGATTCAATCTATCAACAAGAAATATCCATCCTAAACATATATGTACCCAACACAGGACCACCAGTGTTAGAGTCAATATCTTTTTTTAGTTTACTTACTAGTTACTTTATAAACTTTATAAAGCACCAGTGTTTATAAAGTAACTACTAAGTAAACTAAAAAAAGATATTGACTCTAACACTATCATATCTGGGACTTAAATATACCACTAACAACCCTGGATAGATAACTGGGGCAAAAAATCAACAAAGAGATCCAGAACCTCAATTTGACACTTGACCAAATGGGCTTAATAGATACCTACAAAAGATTCCACCCAACAACCACAGAATATACATTCTACTCATCACCACATGGAACATACTCCAAAATTAGTAATATCATCGGCCATAAATCAAGCATAAACAAATTTCTTAAGATCAAAATACTGCCATGCAACTTCTCAGACTACAGTGGAGTAAAAATAAATAGCAACACCAACAAAATTCCCCTCAAACCTGCAAAGACATAGGCACTAAACAGCATGATGCTGAATGACTCCTGAGTCAACACAGAAACCAAAACAGAAATTAAAAGATTCCTGGAAACAAACGAAAATGAAGAAACATCTTGTCAAAAACAGTTCTAAGAGAGAAATTTATATCTCTACAAACACACATCAAGAAAATGGAAAGATTATCAGTTAACAGCCTGACAAATCAGCTAAGGGAGCTGGAAAGGCAAGACCACCAAAACCCTAACTTTAGCAGAAGAATCCAGATCACCAAACTTAAAGCCCAAATATGGGACATAGATCAAAATATCACAGAAAAAAATCAACAGAACAAAAAGTTGGTTCTTTGAAAGAATTAACAAGATCGATGGACTCCCTAGTCAGAATGACGAAGAAAAAGAGAGAGAAAGCCCAAATAAACAGAATAAGAAATGCAAAAGATCAAATCAAAACTGACCCTGAAGAAATACAAAAGATTATCAGAAATTATTATGCACACCTGTATGGAAACAAACTCAATAACCTAAATGAAATGGAGGACTTTCTGACATCACTCAACCTCTCAAGGTTGATACAAGAAGACACTGACAAAATAAATAGATCATTAACAACTCAGAAAATTGGCTCTATCATAAGAAAACTACCTACAAAAAAAAAAGCCCTGGACCATATGGCTTTCCAGAAGAATTCTACAAAATATAAAAGGAGGAGCGGATACCGATCCTATTGAAAATATCCCAGGCAATTGAGAAAGACAGAACTCTCCTCAAACTATTTTACGAGGCTAACATCACACTGATACCCAAACTGGGTAAAGATCCAACAAAAAAAAGAGAACTGCAGGCCAATATCCCTGATGACTATAGATGCAAACATTCTCAACAGGATTCTAGCAAACTGGATCCAACAATACATCTCAAAAGTCATCCACTGTGACCAAGCAGG